AATTACATATGTATTTTGGAACCTTGTGACATTCACCTATCATTGTTGCATGACCTTTCAAATAAATATCAAGACAAAAAAATTTCAAACATATTTGCACTTGATTTTAAGTACTTCCTGTCCATATAAACACCAATTAATATCCCAGACTGGTAATCATATTGTCTTTCCTTCCTCTCTGTGTCTGCTGTCTGTATACACACGATTAATTAGTGAACACGTTGAAACGACGACCCGCCCTCCAATCACAAAAATTGTACATTGTTCTGTATAGAAAAACTATCATCGTTGATGCAATTTTTTTTTACAAGGATCGAGACATCACTACTTCTTCTTGATGATGGATGTCGTTGGATGGATGGCTCGACTGTGGTAGGAAAGATCGTCATTAGCATCATACACTGTTTCATCGCTTGTTACACATTTGTAACTGCCATCTAACTGTACAATCTCTTGCGCAAAAACACAAATTTGACGTTTTTATTACAAAACATACTTGTACAGGAATTTAAAAACCTGACCTCAAATGTTTACCTCAAGATTTGTGTTGCACATGCATAGACATATGCGCAGTTAAAAAAAAAGCTTAGCCACATCCCATGTTAAGTTAGATATTTTTCTATGTTAGACAAAATGGTTTGAGTCCGAAGAAACAAAGCTGCAGGCACTTCAGTCACCCCAAGCCAAATTTCCAATTAAGACACAGTGTGAGTCCAATGCCAACATTTAATACACAATAGTGAAAGAGTATAAATTGAGTACCCCTGGACGCCAGTGTTCGCTTTCAGTGTGCACTGAGCACAGGATCCGCTGCTCCCTCATGTTGTACTGGAAGCAGAACAAAAGTACTCAAACTGTTCCTTCTACCACAAACCAAAACAGAGGTTGGCTTGCTGGATTCATTGGTATGTGTAGGTATGCATTCTTGAGTTCCAGGACTTCCAAAAATCGTGTTTGTAGTACTGATCAATAGATCATGCAATAACCATCTTGAATGACTGAGGGGTTCAAGGATGACAATCAATTTTGAAACAGGTTCACGTAGACACCAGGCTAGGTTAATAGACTAAATGCATGGAGCTGTGAACAGCCACTGGTGGCGCTGTACACAATCAAAACCTATTTAGGCTTACCTACACTCATGCAAACTACAGTGTAAAATCCAGAAACAGTTGTTAAATTTTGTGACCAGTTTAGTAAGATAGAAAGCAAGTACAGTATTCAAAATAGCAGTGGGGGGTCAAGACCGAATATACCGGTAAGTGATTCAGGCATTTCATAATAAATACTTTCTATTAATAATTGCACTTTCAAATAATATTCTCATGATATGTCTATGTCATAACCTAGTTAAATGATACAAAGGGTACTATGCAGTACGCATGCTTTGGTCCCTTTTTCCGTATTCCACAACCAATGCATCATCACAGTGAGGTCAATTGCAATTTACGTTTCATAAAGTGACATTCAGCACCATCAATGAGGTTTGTCAACAAATGGTGCTTAATATTGTGTTCATATTCAAAGCCCACACATAAGCGACGCTACCAGATATATACACAAGCTAACAAGCCATACTAACCCAGCGACTACTCTGATAGCAAATGATTTGTACACACTTCCACCATGTCGTACTCTGGTATATGCAATTACAATTCTGGGTTACAGGGGTATATCGCCCCTTAGCCTTATAAGGAATAATACCTTTGTTATTATTATTAAAACTTTATTAGGCCACATTTTGATGCAGTACGAAAACGTGGACTTATGGCTTGAGCTTTGTGCTTCTGTGCGTCCAGACCTGTATCTTATACGTGCCAGGAACAATCACATTCACACATACATGTACATCATACATAATATTATATATATGCACATCAATTTGTTTCACGGTCTGATTTAAAATGGCCGACTGGCGGTCATTTTATTTTAATGAATGCAGTTCTAGTGCCATATCTCTGCCATGCTCTGACTGATTATGTTCAAATTCCATATATTCATTATACATGATCATGATATAAATATATAGATAATCTGGTTTGACTATCTGATTCAAAATAACCAAATGGCAGCCATTTTTTGTGCTCAAAAAAATCATCAAAAATCAAGCATTTCTGGCATTTCAGAACTAGATCTTGAAGTTTACGGATGGATTTTGTTCAGACTTGGTACATACATTAGACATTATGGGTTCCTGATGCACGTTATTTTATTTTCCGAATTCAAAATGGCTGACTGGCGGTCATTTTGTTTTAATGAATGCACTTCTAGAGCCATATCTTCATGCGATGCTTTGACTGATTATGTTCAAATATATATATTTGTTAAAGATATTCAAAATGGTCAACCAGTGGCCATTTTGTTTTAATTAATGCTGTTCCAGAGCAACATTTCTCAATATGGAAAAGTACTTGTTTGACAATCAGATACAAGATGTCAATCATTTTAATGTCATAATCAAGCATTAATTCTGGATCCATACTTCT